ACTAGATCAGGTTGCTCAGAGCCCCGTCCAACCTGACCTTGAATGTTTCCAGGGATGGGGCATCCACCACCTCTCTGGGCAACCTGTGCCAGTGCTTCACCACTCTAAGCGTAAAAAATTTCTTCCTTATATCTAGTCTAAATCTACCCTCTTTTAGTTTAAAACCATTACCCCTTGTCCTATTGCAACAGGCCTCTACTATGCCATAAAAAATTAGGAAAAACTGCTGAAAGAGGAGGGTCTTCCCTGACACCGCAGAAATGCATGGGTCCCTATTTGCAATAAGCAGTCGCGCCTTTGTTTTTGTTACCACAGCAAAGACAGGAAGACCGAACATGTTTTCTTCATCCAAAGTAAAAAGTATACGGTGATTTATTCAAGAAGTATTAGAGAGGTCTTTATCAAATGCAAAAGACCCGGGTAACACCGGAAAAAGGACACACTCATTTTTAACCACACCTGTGATAACTTCCCCCCCGCTGTACCCTTCACATTACACGCCTTGCCTGATAGTCTCGTTGAAGGGTCAAAATCCTCCTAGGATGTCACGGTTTGAAATATAGCAGAGGGGGCTGAGGCAAAGTCCCCTCTACGAGGGTAAGACTCAACAGATGCCTTCTCCTGTAGCTGCAGGCTGCTCCCTTCTCCAGAAATACTGGGTCCTGTTTCAGGAGGAAGGAGGAGGAAGAAGGAGGACGCTGGCTGTGTTCTCCCTCTGTGGAAGCGTGGCCCTCCTTTCAATAGCTAGCCAATGCTACTGTCCCATCGTCTCTTTCTCACATTAATTCCCCTTTCCCCTCACTTCTCACCTGTTACACCCAGAATAAGAGAGCGGGGCTTCACGTTTTTGCTCCTCTGTTCTTCCTATTTAGTTTCAGAGCTCCTGTGGACTCTGGCAAATCGGAACATCTCCGCTACCTTTCTCAGGTGAAGGGACAGCTCCTGATGCCCTCACAACAGGCTCTGTGGGGATGTGGCATCTTCCCTCCCTGGCTTGAGATGTCCCTGTGCCCTCTCATCAAGCCAGAAAACAATTTATAACAAGCAAGGCAAGGGACTGGAAGCAGGCTTGAACGGTTGCCCTATATTCAAATGTCAAAAAAACGTTTCTCCAAATATGCAATGTCTTTATATTGAGGCAAACATGTATCTCCTACAGCAGGTTTTTAACACTACTGTAGTTTGCTTGCAATGAGATTTGGCGATGACGTGTGCGAATTAAGTCAAGAAAGCAGCCCTGACCCATAGAAGTAAATAACTAGCTGAAAGCCTCCAGCTGATTTTGTTCACCAAAATGCTCCAGCGACAGGGAAGAGGGTCAACCCACTGGTACCTGGCCAGCAGGCTCCCTTCCAAAAAATGCATACGTGACTTCCTACCTGAACTGAGTTGAGGTGACAGTATCCGTTCAGTGGAAATCGGATGACATGCGTCGAGTCGTGATTCCAGCCGGCGTTGACAGAATTACACATCACGTCACCGATTTCTGGAAACACTTCTTCTATCAACGACTTATCGCCACTCAGTGTAATCCTCTCTCCAAGATCTGGGGCAACTCGCACCACCAGGCACTCACACGACTTTGAGAAGCGGCCACTCTCCCGGTCCTGTTTCCACCTTTCCATCTCTCCCAGCATGGGCTGAAGCTGGAAATACTTTGCTTCTTCATATAACAAACTGTAGTCCTGAAAGACACATATATTACTGTGCACAGTTAAGAAAGAGGCATTGCTAATGTGCCGCTTAATGTATACGGTTATTCAGGCTAACGCTGCTCTAGGTCTGGAACCCTTCAGACATAGTTCGTAATTATTGTGTAGGAAGGTGTAATAAAATAACAGTGCAAGCAAAAAATAACCATCAGCCACTTGAAACAGACTGGGTATAGCAGCACTCGTGAGGGGAGGGGGAGGCTATGCTTGCTCAACTCCCTCCTGCTATGGAATAATCCAGGCAAAAATCCCACTTTTCCCCGTATTTTATCCCCATAGTGATGTCATAGAATAATGACCTCATGGAACAGATGGAACAGAATTCAATCAGGATTCAGAAAATTCATCACTAGGATCCATCGCGTCTTACAGCAATACTAGCAGGCATTGTAACAGGTATAAGAATGTAAATGAGGGAGCCTGCAATGGTTCTTAGTGTAAAATGATTCAGATATTTGCATAATGGATTGCACATATTACTGCATTTTAAAAATTAAGTATTTTTTAATACCTCCCCATTTTGCCAACAGTATTGTTTACTACATCGTTTCAAATGCCAGCACAGAGAGAACACATTTCTAAGCATAGCCAGTACAGAAGTAATTTAGAACTGATGATCTGGAGTCTGTCTATTGCCATTTTTTGTTAAATTGAAAAAAAAAAAAAAAAAATCTTGTTTTTCTAGGTTTAAGAGCATAAGAGCATTTGGAAAATACAGAGAAAAGCAATATATGAGAACTAGGGAAGACGGAGGAATAGAATGACAACAAGAGAAGACTGCTAACAGTCAATATGGCCCTGAATTTGAGCTAGAAACCAAATACTCTATGAGAATGGGACACCTAAATCATGCTCAAAATGCTGCTTACATTTAACATGTAACAAAAAAGTCACCTAATCTATATATTTCTAAGAAACAAGTACCACTGTTCACTTTAAGCACCAATCTTTTGGACACCTTAAAGCATAACTGGGAAGGACACCCCTTCGAACATCATGTTGGTTGGGTGAGCTTACCAGGAGTTACATTTTTAATTTCAGCACAGCTACAGTATATTTATGTGTTTAAAAGGCTCTGCATATATAACTTCTTTATATTGCATGGAATGTGGCTTTTCCTTTTTTCTGCATTTCTGATTACCTTCAGGACGAACGCTGAGAGCAGCACAAAGCCATGCTAAGGCTTCAAAAGAGGGATATGATGCTTATCGGCTACTTCCAAACTCCCACATTATTCAGGTAGGTCTACCCTTGTCACGCACGGGAGCAGTAAGTATGCATCTCTAGCAGATGATTCAAAGGCTGCCGTAATATGGCTCTTGAACTCAACTTCACATCTATTATGCCCCAAATACCTGAAAATCTGTCTCAGGTGCGAGGGATTAAAGACTGCACACCAGCGTGAACTGCTCTAACCCTTCCCCATCACCTCTCCTGGTCAATCTGAATTGCTGTATTTCCTACGGTGAACTAATGGTGCAGCCAGCTACGCTGACATACATTCGTTAAGTAACGATAAGGATCTGTTCTGATGGCAACCGCGGTCTCCAGCACTCTCTTCGCTGACACCACATATACGCCCACATACCTACAAGCGGATAAACACAGAACATCACATGGAGTCTGAAACCCTACCTCTGTAGGCTAATATCTAACATGGTGAACTACCACAAATTTAATTTGTTATTAAAAAGAAAAAAAGCAGGCTCTTTAATAACATCTAAATAATGAACGTGGAACTGTTCAGCCCTGACTTCTCTAAAACTCCAAAATTAAACTTGCAATATGCGTTCAAGAGTCTGAAGGAGAAAATATTCTATGACTTAACGCTCAAATATTACCACGTGTGCAGTTTATTTTGTCAGTACTGTGATTCCCACACCATTCTCTGCATTTCAGTGTGGGAGTGGAAGCTGGAGCTGCTGCAATCAGAGGGGAAGCATAAAAGCAGATGAGAGGACAAATAATCAGCAAAGCTCACGAGCAGTCAGTTCCAGATTGTAACGTCCTTTCTGTCTCCATCAGCATCCTACGATATTTATTTTCCCTAGGTCAAACACGGCAAGGTTGCTCCATTATGCTATAGCCAGGAGGGGAAAATTTAAGATTGATGCCACTCTAGGAAAGGCTGACAGATGCCACTTTAGCAACCCCACACTTACTTTTGCCACGTACCTGAAATCAAACACCATACCCTAAAAGTCTGCCCCCCCCCGCCCCCGTCTAGGGCTCTGTTTTGACTACATGCCAGATACTTGCTTTACCAAGGCACATGCAAAACACCCAAGTCCCTTGAAATCTCACCTTGAAATCATCAGGAATGAGGAGTTTCGATGTCCTTAAAAAATTCAAGATATATCTGAACATCTGCCCATCTCTGTCGATGAAATAATGCTGCTTGAGACTGTCGAGGACAATGGGCTCCGTGCCATCGAAAAGCCGGCCGATTCTGGAGAGGAAACAAGAGGCGAGCGGCAGGGTCAGACCAAGCTCGGCTCAGCAGCCGCTCAAACGGCCTGACGCTGCAAAACCTCCTTGCGCCGACTTCACCGAAGCAGCTCTGCCGCTCCACTTCATATGAAAAGGGTTGGTTTCAAACCACAATTTAAGCTGGGTGTTTTCCAGTGTGGCCTCAGAAACTTAAGTAGCACAGGTCTGCTGGGGAGGTGGAGGGGGAAGCAGCTGGGGCAGGAGCCTCTCGCACCAGCCTTGCTGCCCAAATCGTGTCTCATGATATGACACCCCTTCAATGATTTTGGACATCTCTCCCCATCAGCAGACCCCATCCCCCTAGATGCACCAACCCCCTTGCCTGACTTCATTCTGCTTTCCAGGGGACTGCACGGTGAACCTGATTTAGTTTGGAAATTGCACTTGGGAAATGGGGTTTTTTGGTTGTTTGCTTGGGTTTTGTTTGTTTTTAAACCCAGTTCATTTTTTTGGATGCCATTTACTGCAACCAACACTTGGACAGGCACAACTGAGGGGGCAGCACACTGTGGGAATAAGAAGCTGGGGATACAAAGGCTATTTAGGTTTCAATGTGAGGTAACGATTTCACAGTAAAAATTAACTGTTTGTGGCAGGTATCAATTAGCACATACTAAAATAATCAGGAAAAAATGCTCAGTTTTGACAGAGACCACCCACCAACCACCAGAACCACACAGCCACCTAGAGAACCTCCGTCTGCCAACAGTTCTTGCAACATCAACTGCTGGGCGCACACACGTTTTCTAGACGTCTGCCCCACAAACCTGCTTTTGTTAGAGCAGCAGGAAGGGCTGAAAACTCCAAAGAAAAACCCCGCCAGAGTAACACGAAATACATGTTGTGTTTCTGCATTTGCAAAATGCTCCTGAGTCACCTGCAGTTTCCCAATGAAATCAGCAGGAGTAACTAGTAGGTTTGATTTTGTGCGCCTGTTTATACATCTGCACGTGCAATGTGGAAGTACTTTTTTGATTCTTTCCAACACCAGAACTGTAAACAAAATGGTCTCAAAATAGCTTCCTTGCGATACGTCACACGGACACTCTGCGTGAAATACCGACAATTTGGGATGCGATTTCAGGGCCTTGTCATAACCTGTTACATTCTGAAATACTCTGCAGATTCTGCATTTTCATTATTTTAATGAAAAGGCTCATTCGTATGTAGTTTTTGTCCCAATATAACCAATCTGTTTTGGGAAGCAGCACAGTAAAACCTCTGCAGGTTACTAAAGAGCATACAATAGCATCACCATACATCAGTATGGAGCTAGGGGACTAACAGGCACTTTTGTTCCCTGATCACGCTCAGTTTGTAGCATAGGTAAGGTACAACTCTGTCTTCTCACGAAAAGGATACAGCAAGCAAAACGAACAGTCATGGCGTACTATTTTTGTTATAAAAGAAGTGAAGAAACAACCATTCCCCACCACCGGTAGAAAAAAAAAAAAAGCCAAAAACTCAGAGGTGATCGGCCCTCCTGGCTGCACAAAGCGTCCCAGGCCAAGAGACACCCCATCCATCAGCCAGCAGAAGGGGATCTCCAGGAAAGGTTCAAGAGGCAAAAGACAGAAGTGGTTCCCAAAGAGGGGGAGACGGCAGGGCTTGCAGCTGGGTCTTGGGGAACTGCAGATGGACGGGGGCTCCAGGTGACCACATGACACTTCACACCCACAGCCATACACCCTCCCTTTGAAAATGGCACAGCCAACCCAAACGGAGTTTGAAGTGATGCCTGTACCCGCAGCAGGAACCTTGGTAGTACACCCGGTAATAAGTTGTGAACAGAATACAAGTCTCACATATTCTTTCTCACCAGCTGGGAGAGATGAAGACTAGGAAAGAAATAAAACCCCATTAACCTCAACTGGCCATTTACAATTCTGTAGGAAATGCCTGAATCAATTCAAGTCACATGAAATCTGTAACATATTTTGCAGAATGATCAGGTACAAAATATTTTTTTCAAAGTCATCCCTTAGAACAATTCAAGCTTTCTTCCTCAGATACTTGTTACTGCCTGCCCTGATGCTCAAAATTTAAGCTGTGACAGGCCTTATAATACAGGTTCCTTTCACTAGGTGGATGAGCAACATTTATGCCTAATATGGATGCTCTTGGCATTTAGAATTAATTTTCCCCTATACTCAAGCAAGTTGTCTTGGAATCTATCATGGAATCCACACACAAAATATATATATTTGGCCAAGTCAGTCATTACTGAAATGTATAATGGTAATTGGTTTCTGCAGCATTTTCCTAGTTCTAAATTACTACTATAATTACATATCTACCGCGTTCAGCTCTGGGGCCCCCAACATAAGAAGGACATGGAGCTGTTGGAGCGGGTCCAGAGGAAGGCCACAAAGATGATCAGAGGGCTGGAGCACCTCTCCTGTGAAGACAGGCTGAGAGAGTTGGGGGTGTTCAGCCTGGAGAAGAGAAGGCTCCGGGGAGACCTGATTGCAGCCTTCCAGTACCTGAAGGGGGCCCACAAGAAAGCTGGAGAGGGACTTTTTACAAGGGCATGTAGTGATAGGACAAGGGGTAATGGCTTTAAACTGAAAGAGGGTAGATTTAGATTAGATATAAGGAAAAGATTCTTCACTATGAGGGCGGTGAGGCACTGGAACAGCCCAGAGAAGTTGTGGTTGCCCCATCCCTGGAAATGTTCAAGGCCAGGTTGGACGGGGCTTTGAGCAACCTGGTCTAGTGGAAGGCGTGCCCGCCCATGGCAGGGAGGTTGGAACTAGATGATCTTTAAGGTCCCTTCCAACCCAAACCATTCTATGATTTTATGATTTTAAACCTCTAGGCTTTTTGTCTTCATTTTATTAACTGTTTAGGAGAAGAACAAGATAGTACCAGAGGATGGAGCCTTCTGACAAAACCATAATGCTGACAAGAGTGCACAACCATCAGGAGTGCTACCTGGGACCTGAAAGCCGTTGGGTCTGGGCTGGAAGAGTTAACAGAAAGTGCTACCTTAGTGCACTGCTGCTTTGCAGCAGCAGAAAAACCCAAGGAATTGCAAAGTCCCAATTCCCCTCCCATTCCCCCCCCAGGATCACTTTGCAATACACAACTGCACTTTCACATGTTAAAATAGCTTTGGAAGGGTAGACTCCCAGCAGAGAGACTTCTGTAAACAAAATTAAAGCCTTTTTCCTTTTCAGATGGAAAAATGTAGATTCCAGCTTCCTATATGTGGCCTCCAGGGAAAGACTTGAGATAATATGGGACCCAAATCTGGTGGCATGGTCCTTCTAAGCTGCATTTGCTACACCCATCAGGAGAGGAGATGGGGCTATGCCAGGATTTGGGGAACCACCACCGCCTTCACCCTCCAGCCTCCCCCTATACTCTTGGCTTCCTGGAAGCACAGTGGCAAGTTCTCTGCTGTGCCTCGCTTGGCAACTTTTCTATACAATAATATTTGAGTAACTCTCCTCCCTGTCACCCATAGCTCCGCTGTTACTCCTGCTCGGTCTGACACTGCAATTATCAATGCTTAAGAGACATCAATCCGCTGGCACGAGAAGGGATTGTTAAGTCATGTTTATTATAATTTCACTTCCCAAGAAAACCTGAAAGATGTTTTTCCCCATCTCCTTCTTGACAACGTTGGCCGATGATTGGCAAAGATAATTTTTTTTTAAAAATGACAAATATGTAACAGCTGAATGGATTGCCAAACAGGAAAGTGCTTTGAAGGAGGCTTGCAAAATAAGCTGATAATTATATGCAGAATTAGCTAAATATCAAGGGTAAAGGATAAAAAACTGTAGTCCATTTACAAGAAAATGTAGTTTTAATTAAATATTTCAGAAGTAACAGGCTGGAATTTTCTGTATATCAGGAAAATTAATGTCCCATGGGTTGAAAGCGCGACCTCCAATGGGTAATAATTAATGTCTGTGGCTTTAAGTATCATATTCCACTGTCAGAAATCAAACGCTTCAAGGGTTGAAAACATAACCAGTGGAAAACTCTGCTTCCATCAGAGAATTTGGTTTTACTTCAAGGACACAAAACAGGTACAGCCACAAGCCTGGTTTTAGTGGGGAGAAAACAACAGGACACGGAAGAGATCAGTGTTTTAATTCCGTAAAATACTACAGAGATGGACCCTTCTCCCCACAGACCAGCACTCCCATAACAGCGTTTCTAGACCAAAGAGCTAGCACGGGAAGATGACATTGCTTACAGGATTTCTCAAATTCTTCAGAAAGAAGTCCTGTTTGTCAAGTATAAAAATATACTCAGTCTGCAGCAAAACTGTATACATAGTGTAAGTGTTTATAACCTTGCTCTCTCAGTGTATAAATATTTATATATATTATTATACACATAAAGAGAAAGACTTCCCTTTAGTATATTCTGCCTCAGTTGAGAATTTGGGAAAGCAGCAATAATTAGGAACAAGATGGCAAATATTAATTAAACAAGTCAAATATTGCACATCTTTCTTAACACTAAGAAAAATGACACAGTTCTGCAGATTGTTTTAGTGGCTTCAGTAGACAGAGCTAAAGTTAGTCACTTTTGTAATCAAAGGGATACAAGGAACATGGAAAAGATGCAAGCTTTGATGTCTGCAAGCATGCAGAATATTGCATTACTTTCAATCTAAGGTAGAAATAAACCCTTCTTTTCTCAGAGAAAACAGAGATTCCTTATTATTTAATATATTCAGCATATTATTTTTCATACTGTTGTCATTATCAGAGGACACTACTAACTCAAAACTAACTGAAAATCTTTTGCAATAAACCATTTTCAAGAGTTCTAAGCTGTCAGCTTTCCCTGCTCTCTGTGTCTTTCGCAGAACAACATCAAAGGGAGAAAAACTCCCGGTGTGAAGCCCTTTTAATAACCCGGCAGAGGGAACCGTGCAGCAGCAGGAGCATCGGCAATGCCCTGGCACCCGCAATCCCGCGTCCCCGTGCTCCCGCA